CTTTACTGGCAATAGTTGTAAATGACGAAACCTCAATATGACTTTACATATTTATTTATTTACTTTTTTATTTTATATATGAAATATATTTTTGTAAACCAAAATTTGACAAACCCATAGGTATCAGTTGATAATGGAACTGAAAAAATTGATTTTAAGAAAGGCTTTGTGAACCAAAAAGTTCGGGAATTATTGGTATAGACCATTTCCATAGCTCTTTTCCATAATCAATTTATTTTAGCTTTTGATAAATTCATGTATACGAACCATTTTGTTTCTTAACATTAAAATAGCTTTCAATGATATCATTCCTGTGGTTCTTTTTTAACAATGTGTAGATTTAGATGGGACAAAAGAATTATGAAATCTGTGCTTAACATTATTTCTTATCACTTTTTTTCAGCACAACTTAAGTCATATTTTAATATTTGGAACTTCATACGAAATATTTCGTATGAGGATTAAGTTCTGTTAATTATGTGTACATTTTTTCTTTTTGCTTCTTTGCAGGAAAGGAAGTATTTTAATTGTGAAAAATTTTGTTACATATTTAGATTTTAGTGCAGATGTTAACATTGACTGTTTCCATATCCAATTCTTTTAATTTATTAATTTTTATTTTATTTATTTATTTTCATGGCATCTGTACATATGGACAGACTAAACATTTTTTTAAAATTTAATTTTTAAACAATTGTTCACGTATATCTTCATTTAACATTAAAAAAAAAAAAAAAAAAAAAAAGAAAAAAAAAAAAAAAGAAAGAAAGAAAGAAAAAGAAAGGTTTCAGATTTTAAATTACATCCAAACGGGAATCTTTTTAACATTTTGTGTGTTACCTATTAAATATCATGTTCTTCGCACTTAAATCATAAAATTCAGTTCAAGAGCATTATCACAAAATAATTTTAAAATGAGCATATCTTTAGAATTTCTCATACACAGTCTCGCGCACTGGAGATTAAAATGCTTTTTCTGTACAGCGTTGCCATTGCTCACTTTGAAATCATTAAGTTTGTTAACCAAAAGTTCATTAATTTATATTTAAATTTTACGAAATATGAAACTGATAATAAAACAAATTCCAAAATTCAAGTTTGGGCTTCCAGATACCCATATTTGCAGGAGCATTATGTTATTCAAATTTTGACTGCTCTAGGTACCGTTGTTTAATCACAATGCGAGACACATACGTACATGTATGCAGATTCTTCATTATTTAATTTCTTTAAATATAATACACCAAATATTATTATAAATATAATAATATTATTATAATATAATAATATTATATTATAATAATATTGGTGGCAACAGTTTGAAATGCTCGTGGTGAATTAACACAAAATGAAATTAATAGTCCTGGGCAAATTTCCTCTTTTGACTAAAAAAAAAAAAACTCTAGGAATTTTATTGTTTGCTTGATTAATGGAAACAAAAAAAAAAAAAAAAAAACTCTTAAATGAAGTTTATATGTAATTTTTAACTTTTTTTTGGGGGGGGAAGCATTTTTGAAAATTGCTCAAGTTTTTTAACCATACAGTGTTAAAGAATTCTTGGTCATAAAAGAAGAATTTTTCATTTTTGAAAAACTGTTTTTTAGATGAATAATTTGATAGACACATGCTATTAAGAAAAAAGGTTTTAAAAAATTATCTTTTGTGTAAATCTCATAAAATAATAACAGACAAACCCCACTATAATAAACCCAGCTTATAACGGCCTCCTGATATATAACAAAGAAATCTTTTTTGTTGTTTCTGATTTCCTGTACGCTTAATTTTTTATATACTGCTATAAAGAATTGTATGGGCATCTTTTTTGTAGATTTATCTTTTTTCCCAGATTTTCATCAAGTTTTAGTGAAAACATTATTAACCTTTAAAACCATCCACACTCCTCATTTTGTCCCTAAAGAAAAACATCTTTGTTACCATTCTTTTGCCTTCACCACCCATTTCTTTGTGTTTCTTCAAACAAAGTCTATGCAAGATAGGTGTAACCCCTAACCAAGGGGCAGTCTGCCTTTGGCCTCTGATATAGAGGGAGCCTTTGAAAAAACCTGAAGTTTTTAAGTATATGTACCTATATGTAGGAATATAAAAAAAATGACAAAGTTAAGAAGTGGTCTGCATAAAAAATGTTAAAGTTTTTTGTGGAAATAGACTTCTAAGAATCACTCCTTAAGTTATATTTGGCACCAGACTTTTTTTTTTTTTTTTTGGTGCATGTTTCATTTGCCTCTTTTGAGAGAAGCTTTCAAGTTGAAGCTGATTAAAACCTATATTCAATCAACAATTAGCCAAGTAAGATTTTAGCGGTCATTGAAAACGCAGTAGGTAAAAGCATTAAGTTTTATGTGAATTTTAAATTTTTTTCAGAGTTCAGATCTTGCAGAAAACAGTTTTAGCATTTTTTATTGACAGAAAAGTTAAAAACATTTTTTTAATTATCAGATATGTCAGATTAATAAGCTTTTTTAGAAATATGTTTGATTGCTAGATGTAAGTTGTTTTTCCTTTAATCGTAAGATTATTTGTTTGCCAAATCCTGTAAGCTATTTAATTTTAATTAAATAATTGTTAGTTATATATTTGTGTTGCGTGGTGACCATTCCAGTAAGAGGAGGCCAGGAAGATTTCCATCCCAGGCTGTAGATCTACCACTGCACCCATCTCTGGGATAAAAAAAATACAATAATCATATCTTAGGGCAATCATATCTTAGTATGGTGTGCATGACCACTGAACCAAAAATGTGAATAAATTCTCTGATTCTAGTCAAATTTTTTGACTGAGCTGGCAGGCAGAACTGTATTCAAGACTGATGCTATGATGGAAATTTTGAAATTTTTGCTGTTCATTGAAAGAGGATGTAATGAATCTTATGAACTTCTGGCTGTAGAGTTAGTTGATTTATGGAATGAAAATGTTTTGTTTCATATCAGTTTGCTTTGTTTGAGTATAAATATTCTCTAAGCTTTGTTCTCCAAATATGAGTTTTGCATTCTTCAGTTGTTTTGCAAGATCTTCTTTATAAAAGTTATTTTGTGTTGCATTTGTGTATGCTGTGTGGAAAATGATTGTGTTGTCACTGACTATTGGATAAGACACATAGATGATAAAAATATCCTCCTTTTTCATCTTGTTCAGAAGAGCAGACCTCTTACAAATTCTCCCTGCAATCTGTGTCAAAAATTCATCTGTATGGCAAGCTGTAAATGTAAAGCTTCTGTAATGAAGATAAGGTGAATATTATTCAAAAAATACAGAATGGATGCAGCCAAATCAATATTAATTAATGTATAAACCATTATTTTCATAAATTTATCAAGAGTGCCTCACATTTTTATTATTTATCATATAAAATTGTAGGTGAATTTTATAAAGACACTTTTTTAATCTATTGTTTCCATGAAAATATATGATAAATTCTTTTTCTACTTTTAGCTTAATTACTTTATGAGTTTTAAATAAAACCTTATTATATATATGTAATAGGATGACTTGAGGGAAAATAAGTTGCAACGGATTGATGATGGTTCTCTGCATTATAACTCGAAGAGGCTTTACTGTGTAGTTAGAAAGATGAGACTCGAAGACAGACATGAAATAGAAACAAACTTAGAAGTAATAAACAGCAGTAATTTTGATGGCATAGAAATGGTGATCCATTATGAATAAGAGACTGGCAGCCAAGGCACATTAAATCTTCATTTTATTTTTAGTAAACATAATGTGGTCACGAACAACTTGGCACATTATTTGTACCTATTTCAAGAGGTTGATAACTTTGCAGCAAGAAGGAAGCAGCAGACAGCAGTCCAGCTAGGCTGAAGAGTAGCAAGCGTGTTCTGTTCAGGGTGAAATCTTAATTCATATTGAATTAGTTTGGGTTTTCAATACATTTTGATTGGATAATTAGTACTGCTGTAAAATTATTATTGGCTGTTTGAGTTTTAGTTCCATTTACATCATCGGAATTGTGCAAGAGTTATATAACATGGATTAATCTTGAAATGACACAGTGCAAATAAAAATTACTATTTTTAGAATACAGTAGGGGAAATTAATTTACATTGCTAATTTAAATTAAAATTTATCTTTTACATATATATTTTTTTTTTATATATATAATTTTTCTTACATAACCCCCTCCCCTTCAAAGAGAAAAAGGCTTGGCGACAGAAAAGCCTTTTGAGAAGAAAGTATTAGTGTGTTAGCGAAACAAGAAAAAGACAATACAGGGAAAAAATCATAGAATTTTGATATAAATGGAATACGTAAGATAAAAAATATGCAAATCAAAATTGCAACTTATAAAGCCTCTTGATTGTTCATTTTTAATTTGGGTACTTTCTCTGTAGTAATAACTTTCTCCAAACTGCATCATATATGAAAACTAATTCCGCAGTATGTCATCTTAAAACTTCTGCATTGTCTATAAGTTTAAGCCAATGAGATTAATGAAAAATTTTACTATAAATATTGTTGCAACCCACTTACCCTCCCTCTTTCTCTGCCTACGCTTGCTAACTAAAGGATGTCTCTTGCTTGGCTGATTTTGTTAAAAATGTAATGCGCCATTATCAATATTGTGGGATGCCGATTGACCCCATTGTGAAGTGCAACAAGTAATAAAGATATATTTGGAATGTCAAGTGATTTTGTGATTCTTCAAAAGTTCCCCCCATCTTCTACTACATAATTGATATTTTCAGTGATCTAATCCTCAATCCTAAGGTGTAGAAATGTGTAGAAAAATTATGAAGAATGTTAAATTAATCACATGTGGTACAGGATTTAAATGTATTAGATTTTAGGTTTGCTTTTAGTATTAAGAGCATTTCATGTTCTCAAATGACAATTTCTAATGAACTGATTAAGTTTTCTTTCTGCATAACAGGAATTATTAGCTTTGTTTTCTGTAAATATTGTGCTTTTATATCTTTTAATACTTAGCATTAAATCACTCAACTTTTTCTGCATGTCTTTTGTAGATTTTGCCCTGAATGCTGATGGTTTCATCGACTCAAAGTTTCCTTCATGAATATAATTTCACTTCTATACCACATGATGAACTTAATATCTCTGCAGTCAATGTTACGCTGAAAGAAACTGAAGATGATTTTGAAAACTTCTTGCTAGATTTTGTGATAGTGCCTCTGACTCTTATAGTAGTAATTGTTATACTAGTGGGCTTGATAGTGTTTTTAATAAGAAAGAAAAGGTAAGTTCTGAAAGCAATCACTGAAAAGACTCATAATTATTGTTATCTTAACTTTTATTTATTATCTTAAGTTTGTTTTATTATTAAGTATTTGTAACTAATTTAATAACAGAATCTAATTTATGTGTGCTGTTCATGTTATGGAAAATTCATCATTATTCCCTCCCCTTCCAAAAAAAATTGTGTAAGTTTTTCCATCAGATTTATATATATATATATACTGTCTGACAGAGAAAATGCTACGCTATGGTATTAAGAATGATTATTTTATTTATTATTATTTGTTGCCTATACTATGTTCTGGTATTTAGAATAGAACCAGAACTAAACTATGTTCTGGTATTTAGAATGATTGATTTATCATCAAATCAGAGACAACTTATCAGAAATAAAAATCTCTTGTAAATCATCACAGCTCTTGTTATTTCAATTCCAGTGCCATCACTTGAGAACAATTCTTTTGCATTTAGATGGTGCCTTTTTTATTCCTATCATATATAACAATCCAAATTAGGCCATCATTTCCTCTCAGGTAACAGTGCTATTATTCTCGCATCCAAAAGTTTCCTTGTCTTCTTTTTCTTCATCAGATAATTCTTGAATGTGAGCAAAATCAGCTGGTTGTACATATTTTTTTAGTGAAAACCAATATAAAAATTATACACTCGAATTTATACAAATTAAAATAATAATACACGTCAATCAATAACACAAAATTACAAAATATTTTCCGAATTTCCCCACCACCACCACCACACATGTGTCGTAACATTTACATTGTAACATTCAGCTGCCATGTAGCACAAAAACCCAGTAAAAAAACAAAAAATTTCATATGACTTCCTTTTGGCACATTCTATAATCTGGAGAAGGGTTGAAAGGAGGAATAAAAAGGACATTCAGACGTCTCAGCTGCGATATGCGAAAAGTGTGCATTAAAAACCAAATTTGTCGTGAAAATTTTGTGCATAACGCGTGTGCTGGAAGGTTAAATATTTGATGCAGATTCATAAGACTTCGTTTAGCTCTTGTAGCACAGCATTTGAGTATTTGTAATCATTTCAGAGCCTAACAAAATGCTTTGTGCATTTACAAAACTGAATATGTATTTAACGTCTTCTTATCTGTTGAAAATTAGCTTAACCTCTGATAAATAATCACATTCTGCATGCCTTTGTAGTTAAGTGGAAGTACGTCTAATGAAGAGTTGAAAGATCCATAGCTTAAATCTCGGTGAGAACATATTTGATTTTGCATGTTTTTTATTTAAAAAACACTAATAACTTTACACTGGTGTCCATGCTTGAATGTCATGGATGGTAATATGTTACCACTTGGAACAGTTTTTCTAAAATCCTCTAAGAAAACATTACTTGTCATAGGCAGATAGCTGTCACATGGCTGTATCATAATCTAAGTCTGGTTGCTGTTATACCATTCCGTGAACATCTTAAAAATGGTTGCCATGCAACAGCTGGCAAATTCTTGCAATTTCTGCTGTTGATATTTGTGTTCTTTCATCAGTAATAAAAGTTTTTGAAATGTTGATAAATCCTCATGAATTGTTGTATGCAGGAGCCTTGTTGTTGACTCATATAATACTGTGCATGAGTATCCATTCTGAGTACTCTTCTGTAAAGTATTATGTGACTACATAAAACCATATTATACTCACTTATACAACATGTCACAATGTTGAAAGTGAACACAAGTTAGAGCAAAGGTTCTCAACTTTTTTAATCTTATACTATATAAATAGCAATAAAAATATATATATTCCATTGTAAATGCCAGTACCAAAAGAGGCACCATTTTACATTCATTTAAATCTCTTATGTAAAAATTATAAAAAAATAATGTAATGTACCATTAATTATTGAGAAACCGTACATTACGGCATTATGGTCATGATTCTATGAGTATCTAGTGTGTTACGTGATTCCTTGTATTTTAGTATTTAGTACTTCGAAATCTGATAATGTTTAAATATTAGGATCTTCAGTCTTTCTTGTCGTTTAAAACATGCTCATTAAAGAGGAAAATAGGCATAAAAAAACATGTTGACCTCCAAGCTTTTTTATAGTTGTTTGTTTATTTTATATATGTTTATAAATACAGGTATTTCTCACTTTATGACTTATCTGCTTAATGATCACTCGCACTTAAGACCAATTGACCTGCAGTTCAGGGAATTCCATTTCTCAGCTTATGGATTGAGAATACTATAGGCTTGCTATGTTGCTATGCGCTTTTTCAATCATTTTGATTCTGATTTTTGTTGTTGTTGTTGTTATTTTATATTTTTTGTATTTTTAACTCCAATATGGCATAAATGTCAATGAAAAGAAAAAATATGGCATTGTGTGAAGATATAATGAAACAAAAGATAGCTATTGACCTTGAACTGAAAATAAAAATCATATAAGATTACGTAGCTGGTAAAATGGTTAAAGAAACAGCATGAGACTTGAATTTGGCACATTCACCAATTTCAATGATTTTAAAGTACAAAATTAGAGTGAAAGAGGCTGTAAAATCATCAATAGATATAAAGCTGTTATAACTAAGCAGCAAAAAGGTCTTCTTATTCATGACATATAGAAATTACTGGCAATCTGGGGTGACAGCCAGATGCAAAATAATATGCTGATAAGCCATTTAAAATAATTCAAACTAAGGCATGCAGTTTCTTTGAGACGGAGGCAAAAAATGGCAGAATCATTTACAGCAAAGGCATGGATTAACAGCCACACTGTTGGTATCCAAAGTCATTATTCCATGTTGATGGGCCATATGTTACTCAGAAATGACATGGGCACCTACCTGGTTGCTTTCAATGATTGGTGAGGGAGCAAGCTTAGATGTAGAAGCAGCAAAAAAACTTATTGACAAATTGGAAGGAATAATTGAAAAAGGCAACTAACACATGAAAAGTGTAAATTAAATGAGGCTGTGGTGGAAAAAAGTTGCCTGAAAGGTCCTCTGCACACAAACTAAGGCTATGCCCAGTTTCAAGACTTTTAAAGATACGATCACATTGTTGGGACTAAATGCCCTTGGTTTCAAGTTAAAACCTTTCCTGGTCTATCACTCTGAAAATTTATGTGCATTAAAGAATATTAGTAAAAACAGTGTGTCACTTTACTACCATGCAAATTAAAAGGCATGGACGACATAATGTTCGTAACGTAATGGATGTAACATAACTGGACGATCTTGACTGGAAGTACCTTGAATGCTCTTTCTCCATTAGCAAAAGTCTTAAGCATCCACTTCCTTCTGACCCAATTTTGCCCAGAAGTGTATCCATTGTGAACAATTCCATAACTGTTTTTCTTAGAATTCCTTTAAAATATTTCGTTTAGCACAAAACACTAGAACTAACTGCAGATGCAGTGTGTTAGGTTTACATTAATATCAACATTTCTGGTCAGAATACAGGATTGGACACCATAACCTGTTAAGAATGATAGTGAATATTAACTAAGTAACAAATTAGATATTACTAGGAAAAGCATTTAATTAAAACTTACAGAACCTAAGAAACACATCGATTGGCAGCCTTAGGACAACTTCCGTCCTAAGGCTGCCAGTCGGAATTAAGTGCCACCCTGCACTATTTATCTAAAATGTAACGACACCACGACCCAGGGGCAGACACGACAGTACTAGTACAGTCCCTGCCAAGCTTGGTCCAACCTGAGCGAACTCGGGTTCCAGTCCTGTGAAGATTGTTTATCTGCCCCCATGGTTGAGACTGTCCAAGTACAGATCCTAGCCAGTACTTCCCAGGAATTCTCCTGAGTCAACCCAGGGGGGGGGTCCTAAGAAACACAATGGTAAATCATAGGAAGCGCACAAACACATTCTCATGATATCATAACAACTGAATTGTTGCCAACAAACAAAACATCAAACAGTGGCAAAGCGATATATATTAAGTTCATGAAAAAAAAATTTTTTTTTAAAAACCTGTCATGATAGAATTATATTTTGAACAAGAGCAAAATATATATTTTATATTTCATCACTGGCATAACCAGTATCAAAAGCACAAATGCAAATAAAAGTGTAGCCACTAATAAAAAAAGAAAGGAAGCAAAGGAAAGGTATAATTGAAGTTTCACCATATTCTCATTAATTTGAAAATACTGTTTTGCCCCTCTGATGCTTATCACCCCGATGGCATTAAAATTAATTTACATAATGTTGAACGCTAATATTCATCATTCAATTGTAAATAGATGTTTTGAAAATTTTGTAAAACTAGCTTTTAAATGTGCTAGACATCTAATTAAATAGTTTTTGCTAGAACATGAAAAGTAAAACAAAAAATACTCCCATTACTACTACTGATTTAATGAGATCTTTGTACTGCTTCTCAAAGCGGCTTTGGAGTTGCATGAGTGTGCTGGAAGGGTAACTTAAACTTGATCATTTAGAGGAAGTAAAAGTCATAACAAGATTTCCATGGGGGAACTTGCAGAGGAATCATTATTCATGGTCTGATTCGTGTAGCAAAAAACATTGGTGAAACTCAGGGAGAAAGGTTTGCATTCCTTATCTGCATTTATATGGCAACATGTTCCAAAAAAAATTGTTAATACCGTTTCTGTACTTGGCCATGAGTCTCCATTATTAAGATGTTATTATTGTAACTCTTTCCTGAGAAACAGTGTCTGCTTCTTTCTAAATATGTAAAATTCTACTGTGTTCTGTATTACACAACTTAAGCAGTTTAAATTTTGAAGTTCGTAACTTTGCTGTTTGGACTTAAGGTCTTGGAAGACATGGAATTTTAGTGTGTACACTTATTTAAGCATCCGATTTAAATATATCTGCTTCATTTCATCACAAGCATTACCAGTTAGTTCATGAATTATTTATATTTTCATTTTGTTTCTAAAATCCTTGTTCTTCAGAAACTGTGAATCTTCCAAAAAAAGTTAATTCCAAAGAAGAATCAGTATGAATAACAATGATTAATTTTACTTCAGTATGGCAGAAAAAGTAGAGTTGAAAGTCAAATTTATGAATGCTAATGTCTTCTTAAGACAAATATGTAAATTTTTCTGTTAAAGAACAATTAATAATGGTAGTAGTTAGAAAGTAAAGGTAGTAGGGTGAGATACGTAAAAATCTCAGCTGTCAAACAGATAAGAATCTTTAGATGATTTGCTCAGAATTTTGCATTTTAATGCACAAAATAACCCTTATTTTTCCTCTTAAGATAAAAAGAAAATCAGTAAGTAAAAATAAAAATTTTAAACTTAAGTAATCTCAAAAATATTTTATCATTATAACAGCTAGACATAAATTTTATATTAATATGAGGTTTTTATTATTTTTTTTTTAATGAAATTCTTTCAACCTTTCATTTTTAAGACTGGACAAATTGCGGCATCATTTAATGCCTCTGTATAGTTTTGATCCTGCTGAAGAAGGAGAAGATTGGGAGGCAGAGCTTTTAGAAGAAGGGACTGATCATCAAATGAGAGGAAAGGTAATATCCTTTTCTACATAGTTTCTCAATTTGTTCTCATTTATAATCATACAGGTTTTTAAATTATTGCAGAAGGGAATGAAAACTTTTTTTTAATTTTATAACATTTTACAGTTTTTATAGCATTTCTTACACAGTTCAAAGTCCCAAATCCAGGCATCCAATATCCAGATTGATCTAACATCAGTGCCACTGGACCACCAGCTAAATAAATAAATAATGTAATCTCTACATATAATAAAAGAAAGCGTCTGTGTGTCTTTCCTTCATGCTGCGCATAAGCTAATAAACCCAGGGCTGCAAAATTTGGTATATATATGCATCTAGACAAGAGCCAGTGCACCTTGAAGCGATTTTTTTTTTTTCAAAATTCAAATCAGATTTCTTTTAATTTTATCTTTTCGATTTTATCGCATTATTTTGAATAGTTTCATTCTTTTAGAAATGTGGTTTTGGAAACAGTTTTTCATTCAATTGTATACTGGATTGCTGACTGTTGAAAATCAGCACTGTTGCCGATTGGAAAAGTGAGGACGATAATTCTGTGCAGTTTTTAAATTTAGTGTTTCTCTTGGATACTGGACGTTTGTTGAGAGAAGGTAACAGGAAGTTGGTTAATTTATTTATTAGGATAATTAATATTTGTATTAAGGGATATTGCTTATTTCATTATAATTTTGTTATAATGTAATGCATTTTTTTAATTTGTGGCTTTTCTTTTTTGAAGTTGTTCTGCAGAGTAAAATTCTGCACAGTTTTAAAAGTTTGGTGTTCCTTTCAGGTATTTTTTCGATACATTTAAAAGCCAGACGAAGGCTGGCTGCATAGCTGCTAATAAAACAATAAAAAAAAATCCTTCCCTTGGCAAAGTCTAGGAAAGGAGAGTGTAATAACAATAAGAAACAAGTATGCATGCCATAAATGCTGAGATTCCTGTGTGTCACATTTTAATACTTGCTGGCTAGAGAATCACTTCATGGCAAGTAACATTATATTTATTAATCTGCTATTGATGTTGGCCATGCTTATACTTCTGGCCCTTGAGTGGTTATGGCAGGGCCCACACATTTTGCCACCTGCTGCAATCTCTGTGGGTCCTAAATTCTGAAAATTTTACCATCCATAAATTCTGCTGCCCAGTGCCTCTGTTAAACTCTAAAAATTCTGTCGTCCTTAATTCTTACTGCTTGGTGCTCTTAAAATTTTCGCCATCCTAAAATTCTAACACCTAGTGCGACTGCACCAGTTGTAACTGCTGTGGCACCAGATCTTTAGGGAGAGGTGAATTTTTAACCTCACTTATTTGTTTATGTCTGACCTAAACAAATAAATGAAAGTCCATTGTTGTCATGTCTACACATCATCTTACTAGATTTAAACTGATGATTTAAAATCTGGAAATTTCCAATCTCAAACAAAATTATAAATGTAATCATATGTTCAATTTTATTAGTTTTATTATAGCAGTGAGTTAGTTCTAGTGAAATATGTTTAGCATTCACAGCTAATTCCAGCATTTGTTTTGCATGTAGAACTTTGCTCTAAAGCATTTTTATTCTTCCATTTTCTGTTTTCAAAGAATTCCTGAAGTCCTGAAGTTTCAAAAATTTCCTTAAGTCTCTTTGTCTCTTTGTATGTATCTTATTTCAGCTTTAAGAGCAGACCTTTTTAATTCAATAGTACTAAGATAGCATCTCGTTCGCTTCCCACTGATTTATCTTCTAAATTTATTTTACTATATAATCATTCTGAATATACTAGTATCAAAATATTTCAGCTTTTAAAGATACACATGAGAGCTCACTGTACTGTTGTGCTTCTATTATGCGTACATTAGTAACAGAATAAAATCAGATAATCTAAAAACTTTTAATCCATAAATGCGTGTAATCTGCACTCATTTTTGATGAGCAAAACACATGTTAAAAAAAATTTCAGTTTTTAGAAAATTCACATAAAAAATTCAAAGGTAACTTTTTCTTGCATAAATGTGCAAATAAACTGTTTTTAGCAAAAATATGTATGTTTGTAACACATTTTATTTGAAGAAGTGAATTTATTTTATTATTGTAATTATTTGGATGCATGTGCCTTTATATATATATAGTAAACACCACAGTTTGGTCAATCTCCTGAAAGTTTTTAATTTCAGATAAATCATTACTTTTGAATATTTATTCTGTTTTCTTTTTTGAGTTCTTGAGTTTTATGGATTAACATGCATAAAGAATTCATAGGTGCATCTCATAGCTGATTCTTTCTATGTAACAAGTAAGCTTATTTTCATTGGCAGTCAATAGAAATCTACATATATATATATGTAATAATAAAATTTCTATAGTCAAGAGTACACTTAAAATTCTAACTGTATGTTCTTTTCATTTTTAATGGCGATGTTCTCTTATTTGAAAGTATGTGGAATTAAATCCACAGCCACGTAGTCAAGTTGTTTTTTCCCGTCTTTTCTACACGTACAGTTATAGAATGTTCTGGAAATATTTAAAGCGAACTGGATTGACTGACGTCATTTCTTGGAAGCTCCGCCTTTCCAGAGGCTATAAAAGGACTCGCAAAGGAATATCGGGGTTTTTTCTTAAATGTCACGATGTAGTAAACTTCATACAAAAAGTTATTAGTAATTCTTTTTTATTTACTCCGGAGCACTGATTTTTTTTGTAACTGCTATTTCTCCTGACCAATAATAAATGGATCCTGTTTTTTAAACTTATCGTCTGATAATTTAAGCTACGACTACATCTATGATTCCTCACTAGTCTATTTATTCTGGACAAAAGCTGGTACATCACATATATATATGAATGTTTGTCTTTTATACAAATCTACAGTTTAATTCTGATCATTATAAAACCTGCCACACGCAACCTTCAAAATAAGAGGAAGGTCACTATCTACATAAAATTTCTCAAAAGATGGCCCATAAACTGCACTCTTAATATACATATATTTTGCTATAATTTAACGAACTTTTGATTAAAAACTCTGTGATTTAAAGATTTACGTTGCCACTCGACAAAGTATAAGATATATATATTTAAACTTAATCAGAAAATTCGGTGATATAAAAATATTGTATTGCGACCCAGGAAAACACAATTATATTAATTTTTCTCAAATTTAGTAAACAACTTGGCTATTGAAGAGAAATATGTTGCCGCTGCCCAAATTAAAATATTTTAAAGTGTGTTATTGATCAGCAAAGCGTAAAATATTTAATTTATCATGCATTAACATAGACATTATTGCATCACATGCAAATCCTTTGCTTTTTGAAAGTGAATTTGTAATAAGTGTAACAAAGCTTTACTCTCATTATGAAATCAGTTTAGCCACCAAAACAAAAATCAGTTGCTTGATTTACACACCTCAAGCATGAAAGAAAAATGGCATCACAAGCTCCAGAAACAAACGAGCAATAGAAAGCAAAACTGGAATATATTCAAGTAGGCACTGCTCAATTCCATTTATTGAAGCAAATGAGCAACAGGAAACAATATTGGGAAACGTTTGAGTACATGCTGCTCAGGCCCATTCATATGTAACAGGCAAACAATGGAAAGCAAAACTGTAAAACATTCGAGTATATACTGCTCAAGCTCATCCGTCTGAAATAGATGACAACAGGAAGCAAGACTGGAAAACATTTAAGTATGCACTTCTCATTTCAGACGAACAATGCATGCTGATTTAAATCTTGGTTCATTCTATGACGATGATAATTATGGTTACAGTTGTCATCCAAGTATGGTTGTTGGAAAGATGTTAAATTATGCATGTACTGCAGAGCTGTCAAATTTAAGAATCAAGCACCAGGAATGTGCTGCACAGATGGAAATGTGAAACTGACAATTAAATTCACCACCGAAACATTATCAGTCTTGGTATCAGGCGACACAAGTCAATCCAAAAGAACTGTAATAAACAGAATTAAAACACAAGCATGCACTCTCCTTCAAGTAGCATTGGAGTGCATGCCGGGTAACACCTAAATAAATAATAATTAAAATAGGACTTGTATCAGATTTTTGCTAGCATTAAAAATAAGAAATGTGATAAGGCACTGAAAAACTGATGCTTTTTCTAATTAACCTAAATTTTCAATTCTGTTACTTTTTTTTTTTTTTTTTTTTTTAATGCTGCCATTAGTGTTATTGATCAATTTGGAATGTAAGAGCAGAATTAGCATAGAGATTCTACTTACGTAGCAATTTTAGCATAGGAAAACCTAAGCAGCATAAGAAAACCTAATCTCCTACTGCAGGAGTTTTTGTAAACAGTATAGTTACTTATTTAATTTTCTCTTTTCTCTTTTGTTGGATAGCATAAAAATAACATGAAAGGGATTTTACTACTGAATTGTTACTGTAAAATACTTTGACACATTTTTATATAAGAGTTCTTTATTTCCTCAAAAAAATTTCCGTGACATTTATCCTCCTTTCTCTAATACCTTCCTTTTTCCTAATACTACCATTATTATTTTATTTGTATATAAATTAATTAAAATATATAATATTGTATTTAATTATCTGTATGCAACAATCTAAATTTAAGGTAAAAGTTAGAAAGAGGAAATATAAACAGGACTGAAAAAGACATAAACTGTAATTAGGTTGATTATAATATTTTGAGTATGATTATGTCATTCTGTCAGCATTTTCTGCTGTCCCATCCTTTTGTTAAATATGAAAACATTAACTCGTGTTCGACTGATGCTCTCTTCGATCTTATAAGCAATAAATATACTTTTGCTGGGAATCATTAATTGTAGTATCTTTTGTATTATGCAACATGAAAGGTCTCAAGAATGCAGAGCTGTCCCAAAAAAAAAAAATAAATAAATAAATAAAAAAATAATAATAATAATAATAATAATAATAATAATAAGGTTATAGGGGCAAGTCGATTTAACATTGAGGTTAATGGCTATCTTGCTAAATTGATGAGATGTTAGCAAGGTGGCAATGGTTCTGGCGACTAAT